TTTTGTCTTATCTCATTTTCCACATGGTATCAGAGCCTACTCAATCCTAGCAACTTCTCCCATCTTTTTAGATCTCAAGGCCATCGAGAGGGTTTTGCATGGTGTTCCTGCTCCCCTCGGCGTCTACGACATCTTTTATTTCTACATGGGATCCTACCAAGACTGCATCACTTGGTGGTCGACATTGGTTCGTCACTTTTGTAGATGACTATTCTAGGCGATGTTGGGTGTACACCATGACAAAGAAGAGTGAAGTCCTATAACTCAAATTTCAGACTCGTTTAAGCCTCTTGCTCACCAAAACTAGGTTTGTGGATATATAGGCTATCGAACCAAACCCTTTTGGCCCATTTTTGACACTAAACAATTATGTTATGTATTCATCATTTTCCCCCCTTTTTGTTAAGATAGAAGAAGATATGTCATTTGATGATGTGTTTGATACTCGATACCATGTTTGATCACCTAGCGACATTTAATAGGGTCGATTGTGCACGAAGACGACTTCCATCAAAATATGATTTATAAGCGTGCTATCATAGCATGACTATACCCTTGACATCGATATTCCGGTGTGAGCAGTTTCTCTTGATTATTATTATTATATAATAGCATCAACTAGACGATGCATCCATCTTGATTGGACATGTTCTCGTCATGGTTATTTTTCATAGTTTTACAGAAGTCGTTACACGGTAACTCTGTGATTAGTGAACAATATTTCATGCACAACCACTTAAAATAAATAGATAAATATGGGGTTTAATAAAGGGGAATTAGATGGAGAATATAAAGTGAATATAAGTGGGCTTATACGCATTCTTGATATCCTGAGTTATATATAAGGGTCAAGGGCCAATACTTGACTTGAAGTCGTGTTTACGGGACGGTTTACGGGAACCCGATATATATACATGAAATATTCCCCTCGAATTCAAATAACCTCTAAGATGATAATAATTTGCTTGTGTGCCTTGTGAAAGACTTCATCTTGATGTTCTACAATTAGCATTTTCTTTTGTCACTTTTAATTGAGATTTCATCTTTTCATTATACCTGCCACATACACTTACACAATTCCTTCATTTCACATGCTTGTTGAGAGTTTTCTGACTCCTCTGGGATTTGCGTACCCCAGACTCGGGAACTGTTCTTTCTTCGCGGGATCGAGAGTATTTTGAGGATCAGGCCCAGCGGCAGTGATCACCTTCTATCCTATTCGTTCTCAGTTTCAATTGGTGCAGGTAGTTATTTGATTCAGACTTTTCTTTGAGCCACATGTGGCTTTTCAAAACTATGATGTTTTTTCTTACTCTTTTCATTATGAATAGATGTGGACCTGTACTTGAACTCTGTCTTTCCAGAGATTTTTTTTCTATATATTTCTTTGTTATCTTAGTTATATGCTTTGTAGTGTAGTTTACTGGTACATCTGCATACAGGATGACCTATAGGCGTGAATGTGACTAAGTGGTT